GCCCCGCGTCGCCCCGCAGGAAGTTCATGAGCACGGTCTCCGCCATGTCGTCGGCGTTGTGACCTGCTGGGGAGAGACGGGAGCGGGTGAGGTGGCGCGCGGAGGGCGCTGCTGGCCAGGGAGCCCCCCGGGGAACCAAGGGTCCACCAGGACCCAGAGAGAGACTGGGAGGAGAGACCCACGGAGACCCAGGGCACAGTGTGGCCGCCAGGACCCAGAGACAGACGGCGAGAGGGAGAGCAAGCCATGGAGACAGACCCCCGAACAACGTGCGACAGTCAGGATCCAGAGACAGGGAGTGGGAGAGAGAGCCATGGAGACTCCTAAGGCACTGTGGGCAACCAGGACCCAGAGAGAGATGGGGAGGCGGAGAGCGAGCCATGGAGACCCGCGAACAACGTGCAACAGCCAGGATCCAGAGACAGGGAGGGGGAGACAGAGCCATGGAGACTCCTGGGGCGCTGTGGGCAACCAGGACCCAGAGAGAGACGGGGAGCGGAGACCCAGGGCACAGTGGGGCCGCCAGGACCCGGAGAGAGACGGGGAGAGGAGCGCGGAACATAGAAACCCAGGGTACAGCGGGGCCGCCAGGACCCAAGAGAGAGAGGGGCAGGGGGAGGGGGAAGAGACACTGATGGGGAAACTGGACCATGGAGACTCCCGGGCACCATGGAGCAGCCAGATGGAGACTGGAGGTGGACAGAAAACCTGAAGGGAACACAAACAAGTTCCTTGGGGGAGCCCTCATTTGCCATCCACCTACTGTACACCAGGCCCTTCGCCAGCTCTCCTTCCACATAGCGGGTAAAAATGCTTTAAGCTGCAAACCATTTCAGCCTCACTTAAAACTGTATTTTAGACAACACAGGAGAAAAAAGGACCATCTAATGGGGATTCTCGAGAGAGCTGTAGACACAAGTGCCTCTGGGAATACAGATCACCAGGTTTAGAAAGACCGGAAAGAAAGTAAGTGCATACAAACACACCAGTCGCCGTAATATTTAAATGGAAACCATGTTTATTCTATATCTTGTCATCTTATACTTGACTCTGTATATTAAAATGCTGTTCTCCTTAGGGCTTCTCAAGTTGGTCATACTTCCCCTCCTCAAGGCCTTTGCCTCTCTGTGTCCTCAGCTCAGAACACACCCCCGCCCCCAAACTCCAACTCATCCTTCACCTGGTTATTCACTGAGCCTTCGGGTCTCAGTTCACTCAGCAAAGGTTTCTTTAATCCCCACCTTTTCCCCGTCACTAGGATCCCCTGATATAAATTCACATGTTCTGTGTAATTTTCCGTAGTAGCACTTGTCAGGTTATAATTACATACGTGAAAATCAGGCAGGAGTACAGACTGTATTGTGCTCTTGTGCATTGTCATAACAGCAAACATTTACATCATGTTTACTGTTTTTCAGCCTCTAGTCTAAGTGCCTTATATATAACTCAAGTACTTTCCAACTCAAGGACCCAGATATTATTAACATCCCCATTTTAAAAAAGATGAAATGGAGGTTAGGTAATCTGCTCTAGGCTACACAGCTTGTATCTGGTATTTAGTCAATGGACGAGAATTACTTATTAAAGTAATCATTGGGAAAAAATAAGAGTTGTCGGAGAGAAACCTATAAAGAAAAGGAGTTAAGAGACACCGTAGCGTTTCAGACTGTATGGCTTATGATGGGAGCCACCTCTTCACATCTCTCTCTTTGTAAAGGGAGATACAAAGAAAGTCATTTCCCTCTACTAAAAATACAAAAATTACCCAGGCGTAGTGGCAGGCGCCCGTAATCCCAGCTACTTAGGAGACTGAGGCAGGAGAATCGCTTGAATCCGGGGGGAGGCTAGGTTGCAGTGAGCCTAGATTGCACCACTGCACTCCAGCCTGGGCAACATAGCGAGACTCTATCTCAAAATAATAACAATAATAATAATAGCAGAGTACTCCAGCCTTAGCTCCTACAGGGTAGCCCCTCTACCCCTCTATTTGCCAATGTGTGTACTAAGATGATGGCAGAGACCCAGAGGCTTGAAAAACCTGCCTTACTCCATCCTAGGGAGGCACATGTACTACCCACATGAGCCTTCAGCAGGCTCTGGCCCCAAATAGGCACATGTGTATTTCCTCAGCGCCTTACTGGGATCCTCCCGCTAAGCCGCTCCCAGGGTCTCCTCGCCCACTTTTGGAGCATGCGCCCCAGTCCCCTTTCAGGAACCGCCCATTGCCTGCGCATGCTCCCCACTCCCTCTATCACGCAGAACTGTGGCCGCCCTTGTTCTCAACGGTCAGTGTGTGAGTGGCTCCCACGCGGCGCGCCCCTTCCTCCAGCGCCCGGCGCTGCAGCACCCCGACAGAAGGTACAGCAGGAGCGGCTGCGGCTGGAGTAGGTTGTGCTGCGGACTACGGGGTCCACCGTCCAGCCCCGAAGAGGTCTTCGTAGGCCACAACGGTGAGCGACAGCTCCCAGCGCGCCGCACGGCCGCCAGCGCCGCTTCCCGGTAGCCGCCGATGCCCTCGTCGAAGGCCACGAGCTGCAGTGAGATGCCCAGGCGCGGCGCCAGCGCGCAGCACGTGCGCCACCACTGTGGAGTCCTTGCCGTACGAGGCGCCCACGGCCACCACCGCGGCGGGCGGCAGCAGGCGGCCTGCAAGCACCGTGTGCAGCACCTCGGCCTCGAAGGCGGCGCAGAAGGAGGCACTGCACAGCGCTTGTCCCGAGGAGGGCTGCGTGTGCCGCGTGGCAGGAGGTACATGACGGGGCGGGCATTGCAGGAAGGGTCAGCTTCTCCGGGACCGGGAGAGGAGGCGGGTTACACGTGAGGAGTTCTTTGAGGAGTTCCCTAGATAGCACCCCTGCCTGAATAGACCAGGGGCAGCTGTGCACAGGCTGCTGTTATATACATGGGTTATAAACGGGTTCTGGTTTAAGAAGGCCACTGCCTCCAGGAAGTCTTCCTGGAGTGCACCCATTATGCACCAAGAAGAATAGGAACTTAAGCTCATTTCAGGGGGAAGAGAGGGAGTAGCAAACAGGTTATACCCAGAATTAGATTGTGTGCTATCCAAAGGGGTAAAGGTGTCTATTAAGGACCAGTTGTAACAACTTCCAGGGAGGCCACCCATGTTACAGCCCTGATCAGAAGGTAAATATTATTGACTATTCAGAGAGGTTGTGAGGGGAGGGGTCAGAAACTCTTAAGGACAGAGGGAGGCCATGCTCTGTATGTATGAGTATGGAGACTAAAGCCATGGGTGCCCATCTCTAACACCCTTCTGGAAAAGACTTCCAGCTGACTGAAATCTCCCACCACAGTCCCACACCCAGCACAAGGGAGCCAGGCAGGCTCAGGGATACTTGGTCTGTCCATGCAGTTCCAACGGTTTAACACATACCCACTTCTCACACCAAATGCATGGGGATAGGGTACTATCATAATCTCCCTTTTGTAGATGAGAAAACCAGAATAGATGATACCAAATAACTTGCTCAGCAGATGCAGAGGGTAGAGAGTGGAGCCAGGAATCAAATGCAGGAACCTGGCTCCTGGGCCTGTGCACTTAAAAGATTATGCTGGTCTGCGTCTCAGAAGTATTTATAACAGTCCCCTCTCCCTTTTTTAGCAAAAAACGTGTGTGGGGGGGAAATAAGTAATCAAAACTGTGGGAGTGGCTCAATAAATTATGACAGGTCAACCTCATAGAATACATGTGTGTGCAACCCATCATGGATTGTAGAATGAAAAAAATACCATCCACACACGTAAGAGATCTGAGTTTTATAAATCAAGGAAAGGGTCCTTACACAGGTATATGATTATGAGCACAGTAATGTGTGTGTGTTTGTGTGTGTGTCATGTGTTGGCAAACATTTTCTGTAAAGAGCCAGAGAGTAAATATTTTCAGTTTCCAGCTTGGGGGCCATTTGATCTCCGCCAAAACTACTCAACTCTGCCAGTGGAGCATGAAAGAAGCCCAGACAATACATGTCCAAATGAACATGGCTGTGTTCCAATAAAACTTTATTTTAAAAAAACAGCTGGGAGGCCGTATTTGGCCAATGGCCACAGTTTGTTGACTCCTGGTGTGTATGTTTAGGGGCCTGTGTAAAAATATGAACGAGACTAATGGTTGGCACTGATTATCTATGCAGAGACTTGAACCAGACTAATGGTTGGCATTGATTATGGAGAGGCTCACTATAGATGGTGGAGCTGGAAAGGGAGGGGCAAGCTGAGCTAATCCTGAAAGAAGAGAAAAGCTATAATATAAAGATCAGTAAACATTATAGAATCTCATTTATGCATTTACTAAAAATGTACATTCATGTGTATGTATAATAAAGGAGTTAATCATTGTTGATACAACCTCATGACATATTCAACAGGGAATAATTTTTATAAAAACAATTAAATTAGATTATCTTAAAAAATAACTGTAATCTACCTACACCTAATGCTGTGCAGTGAATTCTGCTGCAAACCCTTTGCATTGAGGGCATACATACCTACGTACGCATACATACACATATGCCGACCAGACCATATACATATGTCTGCATATGCATATATATACATACATAGATACCTAAATATATATACATACAGGTTGGGTATCCCTAGTCTGAAAACACAAAATCTGAAACTTTCTTAACTCTAACATGACGCTCAAAGGAAATGCTAACTGGCGCATTTCACCTTGGATTTTCAGATTAGGGATGCTCAACCAATAAATATAATGCAAATATTCCAAAATCTGTTAAGTATCTGAAATCCAAAATGCTTCTGATCCCAGGCACTTTGGGGAAGGGATATTAAACCTGCATATAATATATATGCTTATATACATAAGGCACACACACATACACATAATATTGTCCTATCATTACTGTATTGGCACTTTAGAAATATATCCCAAAACAAACAGGGTTATCATTGATATAATTTCCCACAAACTTTACTATAAATAATCGGGTAACAACCTGTCTTGTAGCATTCTTTACAGAAAGGCTTTTCTCAATGCATTAGTCAGGGTTTCTTCCCAGGGTGAAAGTATATAATCCTTAATGAGGGCAGTACTAAGAGAAGGGCATTTCTGCTTACTCTTTTCTCAGTAATTGCCCTCACATAAAATAAAGCATGACTTTGCCATGTGTTCACACATGCAGTGTGGGGAAAAAAAAGAGAGATCAGACTGTTACTGTGTCTATGTAGAAAGAAGTAGACATAAGAAACTCCATTTTGTTCTGTACTAAGAGAAATTCTTCTGCCTTGAGATGCTGTTAATCTGTAATCCTAGCCCCAACCCTGTGCTTGCAGAGACATGTGCTGTGTTGACTCAAGGTTTAATGGATTTAGGGCTGTGCAGGATGAGCTTTGTTAAAAGTGTGTTTGAAGGCAGTATGCTTGGTAAAACTCATCGCCATTCTCTAACCTCGAGTACCCAGGGACACAATGCACTGTGGAAGGCAGCAGGGACCTCTGCCCAGGAAAGTCAGGTATTGTCCAAGGTTTCTCCCCATGTGATAGCCTGAGATATGGCCTCGTGGGAAGGGAAGGACCTGCCCGTCCCCCAGCATGACACCCGTAAAGGGTCTGTGCTGAGGAGAATTAGTAAAAGAGGAAGGCATCTGTCTCCTGCTTGTCCCTGGGAATGGAATGTCTTGGTGTAAAACCTGATCATACGTTCTGTTTACTGAGATAGGAGAAAACTGCCTTATGGCTGGAGGTGAGACACCCTGGCGGCAATACTGCTCTTCAATGCACTGAGATGTTTGTGTCAAGTCAAATATAAATCTGGCCTACGTGCACATCAAGGCATAGCACCTTTCCTTAAATGTATTTATAACACAGAGATCTTTGCTCACATGTTTTCCTGCTGACCCTCTCCCCACCATTACCCTATAGTTCTGCCACATCCCCATCTCTGAGATGGTAGAGATAGTGATCAATAAATACTGAGGGAACTCAGAGACCAGTGCCGGCGCGGGTCCTCCGTATGCTGAGCGCCGGTCCCCTGGGCCCATCTTTCTTTCTCTATACTTTGTCTCTGTGTCTTATTTCTTTTCTCAGTCTCTCGTCCCATCTGATGAGAAATACCCACAGGTGTGGAGGGACCGGCCCCCTTCATGCAGTGCATCCCTAGAGTTTATTGAAGCATGAATTCAATAACATACAATTAGACCTGATTCTGAGATTTTCTCTTCTTCAAGAAACTCAGGGAGTATATTTCATTTATGAATATGCTGATGCACTAGGATTTCATTGCTTGGTAAAGCCTTTCACAGAATAACTGCATTTGTAAGATTTGTCTCTGGTATGAGTTGTTTGGTGTTTATTGAAGTTTGACCTGTTGTTGAAGGCCTTTCCACATTCAGAACACACATAAGGTCTTTCTCCCGTGTGAATTCGCTGATGCACCTTGAGTTGTGGTTTCTTACTGAACGATTTCCCACAGTCGAGGCATTCATAAGGTTTCTCTCCCATGTGAGTTCTTTGATGGGTAATCAACTCTGATTTCTGGACAAAAGCCTTCCCACATTTGGAGCAGACAAAAGGCCTCTCTCTAGTGTGTGTTACCTGATGTTTATGGAAATTCGACCTGCCGTTGAAGGCCTTCCCACATTCAGTGCACACATAGGGTTTCTCACCCGTGTGAATTCGCTGATGCTCTCTGAATTGAGACTTCGAAGTGAAGGCTTTCCCACATTCACTGCATTTGTAAGGCTTCTCTCCGGTGTGGATTCTCTGATGCATGCTGAGTATTGACTTCTGGTTGAAGGCTTTCCCACATTCACCACATACATGGTGTCTTTCTCCAGTATGAATTTTCTGGTGTATATTCAGGTGTGACTTTTGGGTGAAGGTTTTTCCACAGTCACTGCATTCATAAGGTTTCTCCCCTGTATGAATTCGATGATGTATATCAAGCTGTGACTTGGAAATGAAGGATTTCCCACAGTTGTGGCACTGATAAGGTTTTTCTCCCGTGTGGCTTCTTTGATGGACAATCAGGTGTGCCTTCTGGATGAAGGCCTGCCCGCATTCGATACACACATAGGACTTCTGCCCTGAGTGGATTCTCTGGTGCAAGCTGAGTGTTGACTTCTGGGTAAAGGCTTTCCCACATTCGCTGCATGCATACTGTCTCTCACCAGTATGAATTTTCTGATGTATAATGAGGGTTGAGTTTTGGGAGAAGCCTTTGCCACATTCACTGCATTCATAGAGTTTTTCTCTACTGTGAGTTCTCTGATGTCTGAAGAGAGATAACATCTGGAAAAAGGCTTTTCCACAGTCATGGCATTCATAGGGCTTCTTTCTAGTGTGTGTTTTCTGGTGTGTAACCAATTCTGATCTCTGAATAAAGACCTTCCCACATTCCTTGCATATATAGGGTATATCACCTGTATGATCTGTCAGATATACACTGAGTTTCAGTTGTGGCGTGAAGGCTTTTCCACATCTGCCACATTCATGGAGGTTTCCTACACTATGAATTCTCTGCTGGGCAAAGAGGTGTGATTTTGGGGTGAAGTCCCTCCCACATTCAGAACATCCATCTGGTTTCTTCCGAGTATGAATTTGATGTTGCGTGAGTGACTGTTTATGGCCACAGACTTTTCTACACTGATTACCTTTGCAGAATGTCTCTCCTGTGTGGATATTCTTGCTGCAAGCGTGGGAAGAGCTACGGCTGAATAGCTGACCAGACCCAACAACGTCGTCAAGCGGTTTTGTGTCATTGTTTTCATTCTGACCACTCACTTCTAGGTTCAGCTTCAAACTTTTTGTAAATAAGCAACATTTCTGAGGTTGTTCCTGTGAAGAAGCAAGGTGGGGCCTCGTGTGAATCATCTTCCCAGGGTCCTTATATTCACAATTGCTTTCTGTGTTCAATGTTTGCTTGTTGAAGAAAGCACTGTGACTCATGGGCTGAGTTTGATTTTGCTTATCTTTCTTTGTACGGTCTGTATCCAGCCTCAGTTCTTCTAAAATGGAACACCATGAACCATCTCTTGTGAACTCACCTACCATATCCTTTTGAAATGAAGCTTTCTTAGAAATCTCCTTTTGTGGGATTTCAAGCCCAAACTCCCCTTCTAAAAGGAGAAAGAGAAGATGAAATAGACACAATGAACAGGAAAGAGGAGAAACTGTATGAAGCTGATTGACAATGAATACAAGGAAATTGCTGAGTCATGTAATAATGATGCTAATGATGCGGACAATGAGCAGAAACACAGAGCCCTTATTATATGATGAGCATTTATCTACATAGCACTTAGCAGGTGCCAGGCAATGGCCTATGTACTCATTTAATCTGCATAATAACCTCGGGAGGCAGCCATGATGCTGTTCCTGTTTTACAAAGAAAAGGAAGCATATAATGGTTATGTAATTGGCCAAGATCACTTTGCTAGTCTGTGGGGATTAGATTTCAACAACCTGAGGCCACTTATGCAAGTGGTCTGGACACCCAGATCTAGTAGGATAAGTAGGGGATAAAACAGACAAGAGCGTTGTAGGGCAACATCTGTGGACAGCCAAGGCTTGAAGGAGGGGACTCAGTGTGTAGGTCTTCGTTAACTTTCAGAGATGAATCCTCACCAATCTGCTTGCTTTATGTTACTTGTTTAGAAACAATGCCAAGTACATCGGCCCTGTACATCCTTCTGAAAACTATTAAAGCTTCACCTATCTTGACATGGCCAACCAGTGAAAAAATGACTATGCCCCAACTCTCCATGAAGCTACAATTTTTTTTTCTTCTTGAACTTAGGAATATACCCATATCCCCAGAAAGATATTCTAAAAGACTGGGTAAGCAAGCTGTTCCCCAGAATTTGTTTCACCCTTGTTCCATTGAAATTAATTCTTCTCTGTTAGAATTTTTGGCTTTATGCTATCAAATACGCCTTTTTTTAGTTTAGTTTTTTGTTTTGTTTTTTGCCAAGAATAAGAGTCCCTGATCATCTTGTGCACTTTACTAGTATAGTGCACAAAATACAGCAGGTTCTCAATAAAAATAATAGTTACTAAATTTTACTATTACTTTTTCTACCAGATTGTAATACTGAATATGACCATCACATGCAGTTTCTTTTTGCTTTCAGTCACTTAAACTGTATCCCAGACTCTTGTCCTATCAAAAAAAACTCAATCATCTTTCATTCTTTTTTTTTTAAAAAAGGACACTTAATCTTTATTGTTAACTTTTTCTTATTGTAGCAGAAGCACATAATATTAAACTTACCATCTTACCCATTTTGTATTGTACAGTTCAGTAGCGCTACCTGTATTCACCGTGTTGTGCAATGGATCTCCAAAACTTTTACATCTTGCAAAACTGAAATGCTGTACCCATTAAACAATCTCCCTTTTCCCCCTGTCCCTCATGCTCTGGCAGCCACAATCTTATTCTGTCTCTGTGAATTGAGTACTCAAGGTACCTCATATAGGTAGAATGATACATTTGGATTTTTTGTGTCTCGCTTATTTCACTTAGCATCATGATAAGATTCATCCACACTGCAACATGTTTCATAATTCCTCTTCCTGTTTAAGGTTGAATAATATTTCATCGTATGTATGGACCACATTTTGTTTACCAATTCATTGGCCAATGGACAATTTCACTTTTTGGATATTGTGAACAGTGCTGTGATGAACAAGAGCGTACAAACAGCTGTTTGGGTTCTTGCTTTCAATTCTTTTGGGTATCTACCCAGAAGTGGAGTTGCTGGATCATATAGTAATTTTATGTTTAATTTTTGAGAAATCACCATCCTGTTTTCCATAGGACTACACCGTGTTACATTCCCACTAGCAATACACAAGATTCCAGTTTCTCTATATCCTTGCCAACACTTGTTATTCTGTTTTTTTACTAGTAGCCATTCTAATGGATGTAAAGGGATATCACACAGTGGTTTTCATTTGCATTTCCCACATAATTAGTGAGGTTGAGCATTTTTTCCTGTTATTGGCCACTTGTATATCATCTTTGAAGAAATGTCTATTCACCTCCTTTTCCCACTTATTAAAACAGGTTATTTGTTTTCTATTTCATTTTTTACTCTTAAATAGCAATTTTACCCATATACGGGTGGTCATTTATTCTGGCAATCTTCCTCTGTGTTCCCAGGCAGAGATTTGAAACATTTTTAACTTCTCACTTTATTCAGGTCATAAAAATCTTGCTGAACCTGTAACACTTAAATTACTGCCCAAAATGTTCAATGTAAACTATCAGAACTGTACTGAAAAGCTCTTCCACAACTCTCCAATGCAGCCTAACAATGCTGATTGCAAAAAAGAAGTCCAATTTATTCTCAAATCCAAGCACACTCTCATGTCCTCTGTTCCCATTTAGCCTGCTTCATCTGCTTCTTTGTTTCAATTCAAAATGGCTTTGTGGACCAGTTACAGGCACTGTGTCCTTAAAATTAATTCCCAATGCCACTCCACCTCTAGGCTGACAACACTTTTTCTGAACTTCACAAGCATTTACTATCCATGTTTCCCGTGTTGATACACTTACTTTTTGAGTAACCTTTCATGAAATAGACATGATTGATGCACAAAGGCTAATGCTTTTAACATTTAATGCCATTGTCTTCTCCATCCAAACACAATCTGTTCTTTTGAATTTATCTCAGCAAATATTTAAAGCATCCTTTTAAAATAGTGTGAAATATTCTTTCCTGACCATTTTCAGAAAATCAATAATTTCTGTATCCTAAATACAAAAATCCTAATCCTGTATCTTAAATACAATGGTTTCCTCATGCGGAACACTGACATAATGAAGATTAAGTAAAGAAAGTACAAAGTAATCAGCAGACTGTATGCAAAGTGATACAGTCTATGGAGATAACATTAAACAACATACAAAAACAATGGAGCAGAGCATGAGTGATGAAAACTCTTCAGGTATATTTTTACATTGGAAATACGTGGCCATGAGGACAATGTCACTGAAAAGAGTTTGTTAATCCTACACAGTAGGAAATAACTGCATGTTTTTATCATATCTACTGAGGAAAAAAGAAAATAGCCATGTTTGGGGGTAATAAAATCTGTCAGTATCTTGACTGAACTCAAAAAACTGAAATCATTAGGAACACCATTGTCTAAATATGAGAAAATGGGGATCTAGTTTGTTGTAATACCACTGGGCTTAAGAAAAAGGGTCACCTTCTTCTTAATAAAAAGAAAAAAAAAACTGGTAAGAATTCCAAAATAATAAATTAGAGGACTGTGTTTCTGAGCCCAGAAACACAGAAAAATCTGACAAAATTTGTCAGGTAAGAATTTCTTACTTGGATGATGATGATTCCAATTTCTGATCTCCCAAAATTAAGAAAGTGAGTCATCTCATGGGAACTGTCCTCCATGGAGCTAAATAAGTAGCAGAACACAGTTTAAGCACAGAGACTAGAGGTACTGACATAGAAATCATTAGAATAAAAATATGAGGACTGAGAGTTCAGAATGGATAGGTCCTTTAAGTCAATTCCTGTATGAAAAGATGCCCATAGCCAGGCACGGTGGCTCACGCCTGGAATCCCAGCACTTCGGGAGGCCAAGGCAGGTGGAACACCTGAGGTCGGGAGTTCGAGACCAGCCTGACCAATAAGCAGAAACCTCGTCTCTACTAGAAATACAAAATTAGTCAGGCATAGTGGTGCATGCCTGTAATCCCAGCTACTCAGCAAGCTGAGGCAGGAGAATCACTCAAACCCGGGAGGTGGAGGTTGCGGTGAGCCAAGACTGTGCCATTGCACTCCAGCCTGGGCAACAAGAGTGAAACTCTGTCGAGGGGAGGGGAGGGGAGGGGCCCATATGGAAGAACAGGGCTGCAAGCTAGAGGTGTCACAATTGGGAGGAAAAGAAGACCAATATTGATTTTCTGATGGAAAATCAATAAAATTAGGGGCAAAAAAATAGGAAAAAAAAAAAAAAGGCAGAAAACTCCATGGACACAAATAGATAAATGATAAGAAAATGCAATGAACAAATGAAAACGCCAATCAGATAACAGATAAGATGAGAGGCTCTCATTCAGTTATTAGAAAAAGAACACTTCAACAATGAAACAGGCTGGGCGTGGTGGCTCACGCCTGTAATTCCAGCACTTTGGGAGGCGGATCATGAGGTCAGGAGATCGAGACCATCCTGACTAACACGGTGAAACCCTGTCTCTACTAAAAATACAAAAAATTAGCTGAGTGTGGTGGCGGACCCCTGTAATCCCAGCTACTCAGGAGGCTGAGGCAGGAGAATCGCTTGAACCCAGGAGGCAGAGGTTGCAGTGAGCCAAGATCACGCCACTGCACTCCAGCCTAGGTGACAGAGCGAGACTCTGTCTCAAAAAAACCAAAACCAAAAACAAAAACCAATAAAACAGCCCTTTCACCCATCAGTAGGGCTATAAATTCACCAATTTTGTTAATGCCAAGTGTTAGCAAGCAAGATGTGCAAATGCAAATCCTTGTGCACTGCACATGGGAGCGTGAACTGGTGCAGCCCATCAGCCCATCAGAAGAGCAATATGGTTGACTTAGTCAAGTATACTTATCTCCAGGACCAGGCAATCCCATTCCTGGGTATTCACCACTGGGAAATTCTTAAGGCAGCCCCTATAGGACATTCAGAATTTATAGAATATTTACAGTGTTTGATGTAGAAACTGGGAGTAGGAGGCAACCTATGGGCCATCACTGGGGGAATGGAGGGAATGGAGTAGTATGGTAGACTGGTAGTAGTTCCCTGCAAAGATATCTACATTTGCCTGGGTACAACTTACTCACCTTGATACCTCTGATGTGAGAGTTCAGCCTCCTCCACACATGGTTCCTTTTCTTTTAGCATTCTGAAGATGACGTCTAGGTTGGGAATGTGATACCCTGTTAATTAGAAAGGATACTGGATTTGGGTGTAGCTTCTTCAGTTTTAGAGGCCATTCAGTGAAGCTTTACACTGGCTCATTAGAAAAGTCAACATGGGCACAAAGTAATACTAAAAGATGCCCAAAAGAAACAAACAATCCAGGGCAAACCAAGGAAAGAGTCATGACATACTTTGATATCCCACTGCGTCCTGCAACGAGGAGGATGGAAATCTCCTCAACAGGATCCAGCCAAGATTCCCAGGTCAGTTGTGCTCACCCACTGAGAAGAGGTGGCTATAGAGCTCCAACGTCACGTCCTGGTACAGGCGTCTCTGGGCAGGGTCCAGTTGCTGCCACTCCTCCCTGCTGAAGTCCACGGTCACGTCCTCAAACGACAGTGATGCCTGTAACAGTGTACCCCAGCTCACTGTGAATTAGGTCATCATTGGTGAGTGGGGATGGCACACATAGGAGGAACATGCTTTTAATGATTTTCACCATGATCCATCACAGAGGCTTCCCACCAAACACCTATTTCACATTTTTAGGGAGTTAAAAAAATTAGAGAAATATCCTCCATCCACTGTACACCTACATTGATTCCTTTTTTTTTTTTTTTTCAAAAATGAGGCCAGAAATGGGTTCCCTCTAAGTCCTCTAGCTAATTTAGGAACAACCAGCATGATGTTGATGAAGCAACTACATGTGAAGCTGTACTTAAGCTGGGTCCTGGTGCTCAACATAGAATTACATAAGCTTCTACTCTTGCAGTAATTCAGAGACTTGGAAGACATGTGAATACAAAAGCTCAACTATGGGGTTAAAAAGGGAACATGGTAGAAATATATGAGAGGACACCGTTGGGGAGGGGCAAATTAGGGAAAGGCAAATTCTACCTAGCAGTAGAAGGTAATGCTACTTAGAGTTGGCGCAGCTTACACTGGAAGTAAGAACTTTGATGCAGGATGTGCGAAGGAAATCATTTTCCAGAAAAGAGCATGAATAAAAGTAGAGAGGTAGGAAAATACTGTGAATTCAGGGAGAAGCAGACACCTCTGTGTAAGGTAAGAGGCGACTATGTCATGTTTGGAAAGTGGTTACCATCCAAGCTCCAAGGAACTGGGCTGTTGTCTGAATATATAATGGGTACGGATTATTTATTTTAATGAATGGATTGCCATTTCAGGATTTTAAGTGCAGCGAAGATATATGATCATATAATATTTCAACAAGATGATCTTTCCCATAAGAACCAATATTAGGTTCATGAAAGGACTGATGATGGAAAGATCTTCATTACAGAAGTACCACAGATGATAAATGCAGCCTGAAGGACAAAACAAAAATATCACTTTTACTGATCACCAATGACTGCTAAAACCATATGAAAGACTGATGGGGTCTTTATAATGGAGGAGTGGGCTGACAATATCTGAACCCAATCATCAATTTTATCACAAGGAGAGAGATAACCAGATACTAAAGTGCACCTAATATGATGTAACAGCTACTCGGGAGAGTGAGGCAGGAGAATCGCTTGAACCCGGGAGGTGGAGGTTGCAGTGAGCTGAGATCACGCCATTGCACTCCAGCCTGGGAGACAAGAGCGAAACTCTGTCTCAAAAAAACATACACACACACACACACACACAAAACTGTCCCTGAAATAGCGAGTGTCTGCTGCCATTACCTAGTAACAAATTCAATTTATCAAGAGAGTGTGTACACACTTGGAGAAAATTGTATAATACATTAATATGTGTATAGGCAAGTAAATAATCCATAAAATTGTGTGCTCCAGGGAAAAACCTTAAGTTATGCAGGCAACGAGTTATCACAGTCTATACAGGCAGCTCTGAATATAGATTGACACAGTCATAATAAAAAACAAGGAATATTGACCTGATCAGAATCTGAACCAGTTCTTAGAGGAGGATGGGCAAGGAAAGCAGGTGTTGGGGGTGAAAGTATGAGGAAGTGGGTAAAAGCAAACCTTTTAATGACATGTTAATTAATTAACATGTTAATTAACAATCCAAGAGGCAGCAATATAGGCATGTCACTAAAAGATTAGGAGGTAAATGCTGAAATAATTAGCTAAAAATGTAAAATGTGATTGCCTGGGAGGAGCTGGAACTTGGGTAAAAATACAGCAAGTGACAGCTCTTTTAAAAGATTACAGGCTTCACAAAACCATCTGATCCTCTTTTCTATGTTCAAATAAAACTAAAACCTACTTTCAAAGGAAAAAGTAACAAAAAGTATTTACAAACATATGCAAAAAGGACCCTAGGTTATTACTATGTAAGAACTCCCTTGGAATGCTGAGGCGGGCAGATCACAAGGTCAGGAGATCAAGACCATCTTGGCTAACACGAGGAAACCTCGTCTCTATTAAAAATACAAAAAAATTAGCCGGGGGTGGTGGTGGGCACCTGTAGTCCCAGCTACTCGGGAGGCTGAGGCAGGAGAATGGCATTAACCCAGGAGGTGGAGCCTGCAGTGAGCAGAGATTGCGCCACTGCACTCCAGCCTGGGCTTCAGAGCAAGATTCCGTCTCAAAAAAAAAAAAAAAGAGAACTCTCCAAAAATCCAAACCAAAATATAAATCAAAAGGTGAGAAAAAGTAACTCACTAAAGACAACTGACCAATAAAATTATGAAAAAAATGCTGTTTGTAAACAAAGTAATGCAAATTAAAATACCATAATATCTTTATTTCCATCAAATTAGAAAAGATAAAAACAACAACATAAAAATAGTACTGTCCAGAGCAGAGGGAAATACACACCACAAAGAGAAGACAGCATGAATGGTACTGGGATATATTCTGACATGAATTCAGACACTGATGGAAAATCTGAATTAGCGACAGCAATATTGATTTAAATGACAAACTAGAAATCAGGTCAAGCAGGAAAAAAAATTCATTGTTAAAAAAGGAAAAAAGCTTATATTGAACATGTGTCCTAAAACACTAAACTTGAAGAGGTTCTGAACATACAGGTTGACCAACATCAATGCAAATGAGAGAAATGTTTGTGCATTTGCACTGCTGTCACAAAGACTTAGACAATTTCGTTTTAAACGGGTTTTTTTTGTTTTGTTTTGAGACAGGGTCTCACTCTGCTGTCCGGGCTGGAGTGTAGTGTCATGATTGCAGCTCACTGCAACCTGGACCTCCCCAAGCTCAGGTGATCCTCCCACATCAGCTTTCTGAGTAGCTGGGACTACAGGTGCATGCCACCACACCTGGCTAATTTTTGTATTTTTGTAGAGTCTCACCATGTTGCCCAGGCTGGTCTCCAACTCCTGGGCTCAAGTGATCTGCTCGCCTTGGCCTCCCAAAGTGCTGGGATTACAGGCCTGAGCCACTGTACCCCACCTAAACTTGCATGTTTCAATTTTTCTTTTAAGAATGACTTTTAAATATTTGGGGTATTTACAATTTTGAAAATGATTTATATGTGCAATTTATTTTGTGTTAATGTTCCCTTTTTTTAATACTTTCTATTATCAAATGTTTCTAGCAGGTTGAGATGATTTTAACAGGTTACTGAAATATATAATCTTCTCACGATACACTGGTTCAGGATAATAACACACATATTTATTATACTTTTTTAAAAAACAACATCTCTGTAAATTTGGGTAGAAACCTATCACAGAACAATGGTGCACTGTTTACTACTATAGTCATATGCTATTTAAAGACTTGTAAATAAAGCATCAAGAGATACACAGAATAATTTAGGATTTCAGAAAATCTTGACTATACCAAGAATTCTGATTTCTTGTTACTAAATCCTGACTATTTCTATCTGTGGGCAATCTCGAGACACTATTTTCCAGCATTTTTTATTCACCTTTTTAAACTGGAAAAACAACATGGTCCTTAAAAGCCTGTTCTCGCTCTACCTCCCTGTGACTGTTTAAACTACAAAGGAAGATTGTTCTGCACCTTATGAGAACAGAGGAAAAATGGGCCAATCCCCATGGACCAAGCAAGGAATTTGGGTGGGGACCACTTGAAATTCTTCAAAGACCCAACGGTGGATGAAGGAGCGGAACAAGTGCTTAGAGGGAAAGCATCAGCTTTTCGGTCCTATGACTGGGGTTTCTGATCAGACCAGGGACTACAGTTTCTTCTTTCTTGACCCAAGGCCAACTCTCTACTATCCTCTTTTATTAGCCAATTCATGGTTTCCTCTAGAACACAGATAGCCTATGAATGTGGAAACATCAGCCATTGTGGTCTTCGCTTGACAGGAGGTTCAAGACTGACTCAGAAGCAGGGAGCCCAGAGCCTGCTGCATCCTGTGTCTGCCCTCACATTCTGGAGAACTGTCCCCAGGGCTGCCCCTGCTTACCTCGCAAGATCCATCCTGCTCCTCTGGACCCAGGACCTGAGGCTTCTGGGATAAATTCACATCAGCAGGCATCTCCGCTCTGGACTTCTACTCTCAGTCTCTCTTGCTGACAACTCCACTTTTCCCAGGGGCCAGAAGCTGGATACGTGTTTGGATTCTCCAACCAGGGACACTGTGGAGAGGCGTGCTGGGCTATGAAGAGAGATCCTGCAGCCTCAATGAGGTGGTCTGACCCAGGGATTCTGCAGAAGCCTCGGAAAAGCAATGAGTACATGGTCACTCATTCAACATTCACTCCACAAATATTTCCTGAGGGCACTGAGGTGAAGTCACTGTGTCAGACCCTGGAGTAGGCAAAGTTCAGAAAGCCCAACTCTAGTTATTAGTCAGGGTTAAAAATAAAGACTGAGTCTGGACTAAATGATGAATTCATTGCAGCTTTGCCAACTTTTCACTGAGAGAATGTGAAAATATTACTTTAGTTATAGTTTCCAAAATGAAAATGCAGGTATTTATCACAAGTGTTGGGAAACTCAAGCAAGGTGAAGCTTGTCAAGTCCTCAGTGCCTGCCTGGCAAGTGATAAATATGAATAAAAAAGAGAAATTTGTCAATTTAATTGTCAGCTAAATATCATGGGCATTATTACACCCATTTTGGGGATGAGGATAATGAGGCTGTTACATAATTTGCCTGAAGATTACTCAGTCTGTAAATGGAAAAACGGAATCAGCCCACATCTGCCTTGTTCTAAACTGTACACTGTCCCCACTATCTCATGCACCCTTACATGGCCAGCTTCCGGAAACACCATTTCCTCTTCCTGTTGCCTTCATAGAGCTCAGGCTGGGAGGTAGCTTTGTCTGGTGTACCTATTCTGAGCTTCTGGACTTTTCAGTCCCCATCCATAACACACCACACAGTCCCCATCCATAACACACCACACAGCTCTGACTAGAGCTAAAACTTAAAATCACTGTCCCAATCCCCACCTTGATGCAGAACATTTGCAGACATGCATCAGGGCCTCCAGTTACCATTTCTTGCCTGTCCACAATAAGTTGCCCCCACCGCACCTGAATGCAATCACTGACAGCACTGATTTTCAGAAATCCCCAATGAGTGGACTACAGGGCTGCCAGAAAGTTCCATAATGCCTCCCAGTCACTGACATGGCCCAGGCTTCTGAAATCATTACTGCCCTGATAGCCAAGAAATGTTTCCCAGCGAGTACAATTTTCTGGTTTCCATAAAACGACAAATAATCTCCAACATAGGGGTCCAAATGAAATGCTCCAATAGGAGACCATCGTCGATCTGCTCAACTGTCAATTACCGATCCTTACCATGTCCAAGGGACCCAAGAAGAGGCCAACACTGCCCCACCCACCAATCCCTGAAGGACCCCAACACTCACTGCCTAGAAAGCAATGCAGTCACCCTCACAAATCCCCATCATTAACCCCCTATGCCTCCAGTCAACTGGCTGCCATAGGCTACTACTGGCAACCCCACTCTACTGATTACTATAGGTCGCCCATCACTGGTCCCCTGAGAGTGTTACAATGTGATCCTCAAAGGCCTCCAACCTCTGAAGCTCTTGGCTGCCAATCAATCACTGACTTCTCGAGTCCCACGGAGAGTGAATCCCTTCCCTGAACGTCCTCCAGCACCATCTGCAACGGCGCTCTTAAGACGCACGTTCGCTGTCCTCAAGTTAGCAAGTTTCGTGGACCAATATAAAATCCGGTATTACAGTACACTTGTAATTTAAGTCACAAAAATACTTATTACAAGCAGAAAATAAGCAAGAGGGAAAATTAGCCAGCTAATTATCCAACTAAAATTAGCAAAAGCCACTTACCCCACAGCACCCCTCACCCACCCCAGAAACCCCCCCCCCCCAATCGCTCAGCCAAAACAGGCCTGTCACTTACCTCACAGCCCGGTCTTCAGCCGAGAAATCCCTTTATCACGCACCGCCCCCCCCGCAACAAGCCCCTCATCACTCACCCAAAGCCGGCTTCCCCTCCCTGACTCTACAGAACCCCCACTGCTAATATTCCCAATCACTTCAGCATTCCGTAAGCCGCACAGGCTTAGATCCATTTAACAACAGAAGCGAAATGGCCTCTCTAGGCCACTTCCGGTTTGGGTTACATTCCCGTTGGGATTCCTGCGGGCGCACTGAACCGCGCGCATGCCCACTAACACTTTTGAAGCTACGCTCCGCCAACAGTCATAATGGCGTAAAACGGCGTACTTTTACCCCGCGGTTCATTCAACTTCAGAAACTTCGTCGGGAGGACGGCATGGCCGCACCCATACGGATTATGATATTGGAGGCCGCCATCGTCAAAGGGCTTTTATTCCGTACAGCCAAGAATGGCAAATGGAATGTCACAGAGTAAAAAAAGTCTTAGGTCCCACATTGGCAGGGGACCTATTCAATACTGTGTATATATATTTCTAGAAGAAACTGACATTCTGTATTCTGAAAAATACTTTTTCTCTACATTTTCGCCTCTGATTTTTTTTTTCCTGAATTGATAAACAACTCACTGTCTTTAATAGCACTTTTGAAAATGTTATCTTTCTGAGAAATTGTTATCTTTGTTATCCTTACACCACTGCTCTCTATACCTGGATGAACCTATTGATGAAGTTACCTACCAAGAGACCACCTGAAGAGAGAATTTAGGGCTCTTGGGACACTTCATTCAAAGAGAGGAGAATGAAAAAAATACAATCAAGTTAAAGGAAAAAAACACAATTCCTGAGAACAATGTCAGCCAGTCCAACTGCGCAGAATTTTCAGGAAGAGGCTGTTCAATCAAATAAACAAAAATATATTCTAGAAGGTGGGAGATAGCAATCATAAATTTTTTTTTTTTTTTAAAGGCTGATTAGTAGAAATAGGAGGGAGGGCTGAGTGAGGATCTGAAGGTGAAGATCTGAAATGATCCTTTTTTAAAAGATAATAATTTAAATATATTGCTTTAGCTGTTTCTGCCATTTTGTAGTTACCGATTTTACATTCTGTGTTCACAGCTTCTGCCACCCCTTCTCTACACTTAAAGCCACCATATTGCATTTAATTACTTTATACCTCATTTTTTGTCAATTGGAATCATAAAATAAGACTGTTTAGCCAATGAAGCATGTTTTTGAACATGGTTCCCCAGGAATAGTTCAGTTTTTACAGTTAGTATCTGAACCTTTGTTACATGAAGCATGAAACCTGCTTTTATTTTTAAAAATTAATTATATATTTACTGTAAGCAAATAGTGTAAAAGCAATAAAAACCCTTCTCTTTACTGTGTGAGAAAGTGTGACATTATACTTAAGTTACTAAAAAATTCCCCGGATTTAGAACTTTTGAATTTTCTCCACTTACAAATCTGACACTATTCTTTACTGTGTCATAGGTTTTACCCTATGGCTTTGGTACGTTTTATTTTTAAAAAAGGAAAATGCAGAGAGTGAAAATTGAGATAAAAGTAGGAAACTTTAAATACAATAGCCCAGCATGTATATATTCAGGGCAAGTGAAGGAGTCTCTCTACTGGGACATCTGTATCTCTGTAGGAAGAAGGGTAACTGCTCCTAATACTCTTAGTGGGGCAGGCATACCCTAAGGTGACCCCTACTGAGTCACACCTTGTATAAATCCATCCCTTTGAGTGCAAACAGAATGTAAGATTTGCTTCTTACCAACAGAATATGGCAAAAGTTATGGGTCTCATCTCTATTATTAGATTATGATGTTAAAATCTATGGGAACTTGAACATCATCTACAAATACTGGAAATATTTCTCAGTTTCTAATTTTTACATTTCTTGCTTATTTTTCTGGTTTTACCTTGTTGGCTAGAACCTCTTTAATAATGTCAAGTAATAGTGGTGACAGTGGGCATCCTTTTCTTGTTGCTGATTCAAATGAGAATGCTCCTCAATTTTCCTTATTTATGGTGTAAGTTGGTATAGGTTTTAATATATATCTTTTATCATATGCATGATAATTCTAGTTGCTCCACTGCCTTATCAATACTTAGTATTATTAGTCTTTTTGATTTCATATGTTTTAGTGAGTATCTCATAGTGGTATCTTTCAGTAATTTTAATTTGCATTTCTCAGATCAAGCATTTTTTCAAGTGCTGAATGTCCACTCATTTGTCCTCTTTGCTGAAGCACCTCCTCAAATCTTCCACCCATTTTTCATTGTGTTTTAAAATTATTGTGTTGTGAGAATTTTTTATATATTCTAAAAATAAGTCTTTGAGAGATATGCATATCACAAACATTTTTCTTCCAGTCTATGGTTGCTTTTTTATTTCATCTAATCTTTAGAAGTTAAAAAATTTGATTAGGACATTCTAGAAGAGTTTTTAAAGATTGGAGTTGGCTATTCCTCAAGAAGACAGACAAAACTCTCTATGAATCTTCATATATCTTGTGTAGATAAAAGTCAAAAAAGAAGAAGAAAAAGAAAGAATTCTGTCTCTTGAAACTTAAATAAAGTGCTTCAAAATTAAAATGCTTCAAAAAATAAAGACAAAAAATCTTGTGTAGATGAAAGTCAAAAAAGAAAAAGAAAAACAATTCTGGTTCTTGAAACTTAAAGTGCTTCAAAATTAAAGTGCTTCGAAAAATAAAGACAACTGATTGCAACTTATGAGGACTTCAGAATTTCAAATACTTCACTTTAGACTATACCAAGAACTCTCATCCTGACCAACTTCAAACCAATCTACTGCCTGCATGACTCAACGCCTTGTTAAATAATGATCTCAACAAGATGCCTGCACTCAAAATCTCCGATACCAATTGTGCCTGTTTTTTTTTTTTTTCCTGGAAATCAAAGAAAGTAAACAACCAAGAACATTAAAAGAAACTTCACCCCAAAAATACAGTATTGAACAGAACATTCTATATACAGAAATGAAACTGTTTATCACCTTCATTTATAGCTAAGGATAAATGCTCACCCATTGACTAAAATGACCCTTTTCTTTCATATATCTCATTTTAAGCAAACCTAAGATGTCTGGTAAAAAGAGGCTTCATCATTCTGAGATATAGGATTAGAAAACAAAATACAAATTAACAGTTGTGATTTGCATCACAAGAAATTGGATGCTAAGGAAATGTGCTGAAGTTTTCCCAAAGTTCAATTATTGATCTGTTAAAATGGATCCAATATTAAGATTCTAAGAATATCATTCTCATTCATTCATATTCTGATATTGCACCTTCCTCAGAAGCAGAGGAAGAGGAGCCCTTGGAAATTGCATGTGGCCTGAAGACAAATTTTGGGCAAGTCTATGAAAGTGAGATTCTTAGTCTGCTTAGGGTTTATGTGGGAAAATGGTTGAGGGCTTTGCCTGGAGGAATGAAGGTCGCTGACAGGTTTTAATCAGGGATGTGATCTCCTTTAGTCTGGTGTCTGGAATGACTATCCAAACTGCCAATTAACAAAACTGGAAAAATTACTAATTCCTGAAGCTAGAGAGGCAATGGTTACTCTCATTCAAGACTGGGGAAATGGACACTGTTTCAGCCATTTTCTCAAACTCGTGGCCTCAAGCAATCCTTCCATCTCGGCCTCCCAAAGTGCTAGGATTACAGGTGTGAGCCGCTGTGCATGGCCTGTTACAGCCATTTTTGAAAGCAGTTTGTAAATACTCATCATTGTTTTGCAAACATATTACTTTCCCTTGAAAAGGTGATCCAGTTTCTGCTAAAAATATCTTCTAAGGAAATAATCAGAAATTATATTTTTACACAACTCACATTTGTAGCTTGAAGTCAGTCACGATAGAAGTGTTTACACTGCAGAAATTGGCAAATACCATCCATCAAGTCATTTATCATTTTATTGATTGTCTACACTTGATATAGTGATAGATAAAATGCTAATAATGCAACTTAGAGAATGCTAATATCTGCTGTCATTACATTGTAAATAGCACCAAAATTCAGGAAATATTCTTCTAATGTAGATATTCCAAACCTCTTATCTGATTCAGCAAAGAGTTTACTCCTGTCATTGACAGAAGAATAAAATCCCACCATACATCTCATTATTTCTGTTTCATCTTACTCCTTAAAGTAAATGAAAATATCAACCAACATTCATAACTACATCGTGTACTGTTCATCAACTGCCATTATAAGTTAGCTAAAGTTGCAAAAGTTCAGAAAAATCACTGAAAGCATTCTGTAAGAATCAGTTGACTATGTGGAATTTATAATAAAAAGTATAGTACATTTTATTATTCTTTAAAAGTTATGTGCTGCAGGGAGACGAAGCCCCGTGGGATGTGACCAACTCAGCATTCCACTGGAGGCTATATGATCAAACAGCAAACTGTTTATCATGATTGCAGGATGTGGGCAAACTCACGACTACTCCCGCTGCCAGAAGGTTTGCTGAAGGCAATCGCTTCCTGGCACCAAGCTCCTTGAAGTTATCTACTGGGACATCTAAAGAACGCAGTCTTGCAAGCCTACTCTGGACCAAGCAGCTGACCTCTTCTTCCACCCCACTTCTCGCTATCTCTTTTGCCTAATAAATACGGAGGGCTGTGTAAAGCTCAGGGCCCTTGTCCACTAGAGGCAAGGTGCCCCCAACCCCTTCTTCCAAATATACTCTTTTGTCTCTTGTCTTTTATTCCCACGTTGGCCCCACTTTGTTCAGTCCCCCTAGGTCCATGAGGGTTACGTAGTGGCACCCCAAATAGCGACAGAATTGGGTGCTCAACAGTGTGCTACACATACTTTATATCAGTAAAATTTATCACGAATATGTATTTTTTGGAAATCCAGTTGTTAAATGTTTCTTAGCACACTTCTGCCCCAATTTCATGTCTCTCTTGAATAAAGAATAGCCTTCATGGGTGCAGGAAGAAGGAGTGGGGAGGAGAAAGGCTATTCTACTGGGATCTTTCTCACTCACCCCCACACCAGGTGTTATCCACCAGCATAGGCTGAGGGGTGCTCTTGGGAACATCAGCTCCATGGGACTGCTAGTCTGCCCTTAAGCCGGTTGAGTGTGGAATGCCAAGTTGCCTATGTTCACAGTGAAGAGTTAATTTGCACATATGGGAATAGTACATGCGAATTACATTATGAGTAGAGAATTAATATTTTCTACAGTTTTTAACATCCTGA